AATGTAAATTGGTGCAGCTACTCTGGAAAACAGTATGGAGATTCTCCAAATGTAAGTGTAAATTGGTGCAGCTCCTCTGGAAAACAGTATAGAGATTCTCCAAAAAGAACTACTATATGATCTAGCAATTCCACTCCTGGGTATTTACCTGAAACAAATGAAAACACTAACTCAAAAGATATCTGCACCTCCATGTTCCTTCATTACAGTATTATTTATAACAGCCAAGATACTGAAATAACCTAAGTGTCCATCAATGGATGAATGGATAAAGAGAATACGTGACCTATAACCCAGAATATTATTCAGCCATAAAGATAATAAAATATTGCCATTTGTGACAACATGGATGGACTTATTGTGCTAAGTGAAGTCAGAAAGACAAATACCACATATCACTTATATGTGAAATTTCCACATTTTATCCTAATGGGAGTGGCAAAATTTTACAGTAGGGTTTGCAGAGTGTGAAAAGGAGTTAATTAGGAAGTAAAGCATTTCAAGGCAATTATAACAGTTCAATGGAAAGGGGCAATCATGCATTGGTATTGGCATCCACCTACAAGTTTGTGCAATTTTCCCTAACAATGCTTGACAGTTTGAGAGCATACAGAGAAAACATTCATTTCATAATATAGGTTGATGGGTCAGAAGGATACAGGGAACTGAGAATGCTGGTGAGAGTTAAAAATCAGTAGGAACCCTGGGTAGCGCAGCGGTTTGGCGCCTGCCTCTGGCCCAGGGCGCGATCCTGGAGACCTGGGATCGAATCCCACATCGGGCTTCCGGTGCATGGAGCCTGCTTCTCCCTCTGCCTGTGTCTCTGCCTCTCTCTCTCTCTCTGTGACTATCATAAATAAATAAAAATCAAAAAAAAATTAAAAAAAAAATCAGTAGGATAGTAATGAGCCACCGGCCTGCAGGCTTTGATGATAGTAAGAACACACTAAATGAGCAAAGGCATCAGAGAGATCAAATGAGAGGGAATTTTGGTCAAAAATAAATTTCTAAATTCAAGATTTCAAGATAGCAGAGTACAGGGTGAATTATGGCAACAGAATTTTAATTGGCCTTTCTACCTGTCTTTGCCCTTCCCCCGTTCATTATCCACACTGCCGAAAACATATTTTCAAATAAAAGTCTCATCATCTCTCCCCACCCTCAAACTTCAATCCTCCAGATGGATTCAATCAAAAGCCAACCGAAAAGTCTTAATTATCACCTCTATTACCCCGTTAGTTAATATCCCCTTCCTCTCACTCTTGCCCAATCCTTTTTTTTTTTTAATTTTAAGATTTATTTATTTATTTGAGAGAGAGAACACATACAAGTTGTGAGGAAGGGCAGAGGGAGAGAGAATTCAAAGCAAACTCTCCAAGGAGCTTGGAGCTCTCTGGAAGGTTTGATCTAAATGAGTCTTATATCATGACCTGAGCCAAAACCATGAGTCCAACCCTCAACCTACTGAGCCATCCAGGTACCCCTCCCACCATTCTTATTCAAACTTTCATAGTTCTAGTTTTCACATTGTGTTTTACTTTACGAGTCTGTCTTCCCCACTAGATTCTGAATTCCTTAAAAGCTGGAACCAAGTTTTAATCTTCTTTTAATCCATATTTCAACAGCCTTCCTGATATATTCAACTCTGGTATTTCTTGTTTACTCATCTTTAATGACGGTTTCTTTGAGGAAACTTTTTTCTTTTCAAATTTTTATTTAAATTCTAGTTAATATATAGTTTATATATTAACTATATAACTATGTAGTTAGTTAATATTAGTTTCAGGAGTAGAATTTATTGACTCATCAGTTATATATAACACCCAGAGCTCATCATAACAAGTGCCCTCCTTAATAGTCCTCATCCATTTGGCCCATCCCCCCTACCTGCCTCCATCAACCCTCAGTTTGTTCCCTATCTTTAAGAGTCTCTTATGGTTTGCTTCCCTCTCTTTTTTGTTCTTCCCATTGGTTCATCTGTTTTGTTTCTTAAATTCCACATACGGTATTTGTTTTTCCCTGACTGATTTATTTAGCTAGGCATAATGCATTCCAGCTCCAACCACATCATTGCAAATGGCAAGATTTCATTCTTTTTGATGGCTGAGTAATAATAGTCCACCGTATATGTATCACATCTTCATCCATTTATCAGTCGAAGGACACCTGGGCTCTTCCATAGTTTGGCTATTGTTGATAATGCTGTTATAAATATCAGAGTAGGAGCACCTGGGTGGCTCAGCTGGTTGGGCAACCCGCTCTTGATTTCAGCAGGCCATGATCTCAGTGTTGTGGGAATGAGCCTGACATTGGCTCCAGGTTCAGTGTGGAGTCTGCTTGTCCCTCTTCCTCCCCACCACTGGTGAGCTTTGCTCTCTTGCTCTCTCAAATAAATAAATAAAATATTCAAAAAAAAATCAGGGCATGTGTACCCCTTTGAATCTGTATTTTTGTATCCTTTGGGTAAATATCTAGTAGAGCATTTGCTAGGTCATACGGTAGTTCTATTTTTAACCTTTTGAGGAACCTCCATACTATTTTCCAGACTTGCTGCACCAGTTTGCATGCCCACCAACAGTATAAGAGGGTGGGGAAAACACTTCAGGCTACTTGACCATTTTTGTGGTTTATTTAAAACTAGATCAATAATATGATCTACAATTACACTTAACCAGCCACACTGTAGTATGTTACCATACACTGATGCAAATAATTAAAGGAGATTAGTAATTTTGGTTCTTCCAAGTTTTGAAACTCCCACTCTTCCCTTAGGATACTTCATTTACTACTTGCAACATGTGTTTAAATTATGAGTGCAAACAAAGGACACCAGTGTCAACCTGTATTTTTGAAAAAATTAATGAAACAAATTTTTCCCATGTTAGATAAAATACAAACCAAACTTCCAATATTTTTTCTGCACTCTAGTGAATCATATTGCACACCCCAATGAAGTACATATACCACTTTAGATGTCATTGGTTTAGACATGAGGTAATGAACACCTTGTCAGCCACTAGCAAAAAAAGAAATTAAAACGCATATCATTCTACCTACAATACCATTTTTATAAAGGGTTTATTACGCTATAAATTTTGGAGAACACTTAAGGTATTCAGTACTTTGTATGGTTTTTAAAATACTGCTTTCATAACACTTTGTACTGGAATAAGAAGTTAGTGTAGGTGGCAGAAAAAGAAAGCATTAAAAGGTGATCTAGAACTCTTACAGAAAGACTAAACCTCGAAATTAGAATTCAGGTTACTAGGTACAGGCTGGAAGTGAACATTTAAAAGCACTCTGGATTCCTCCTTGGCATTTCGCCACTTTGGTTATTCAATTTCTGTTTTACCAGATTAGTCACACACTCCCATGACAGCAAGGACTATCTGTCTTGTTGCCTGCCATATTTCTAGCCACAAGACTAATGCTGTATGGCACACAGATGTCCAAAAAATATTTACTGAATGAATGCATAAAAGAATGAAGTGGTGGGCAGCCCCTGTGGCTCAGCCATCTAGCGCTGCCTTCAGCCCAAGGCCTGATCCTGGAGACCCGGATCGAGTCCCGCGTCGCGTCGGGGACTCTGTGTGTCTCTCATTAATCAAAAAAAAAAAAAAAAAAAAAAAAATCTTAAAAAAAAAAAAAAACGAAGTGGTATAATTGAAGTCATGATTAAGAAACTAAAGAGAACAAAAAAGTGCTAAACATTCAACTTAAAAAATATGTACAGTAAAGCCATCAGAAGTGCTAGCAGAATAGAATGCACAAGTCCAGGAGGTAGAGGGAAAACCAGGAAATTAGAAGGGTCTCTAAAGGAGTGCATCGTTGGAAAGGTGGTGACTAGTCACTGTGAAGTCTGAGAAAAAGCCGATGAGTTAATCAAGAGGATAACTGGCAACCTCAAGAATGCTATTTAGGTATAGTTATAGCAGTGTAAGTCAACTGCAAACAGGGAAGAAATGGATAGTAAGGGAATGGAAGTCTTATGATTTTGTCAGTGAAACAACAGAAACAGTATTATAGCCCTGAAGGGCTCAATAGGAAGAAGTGAACTGTTTGTTGTTGTTTTCAAGTTAGGAAGATCTACATGTTTGAGGAAGAGGATTCAGAATTTTTTCCTTTAATGGTGGACACAGTCTTGTGATCCTAAAATAGAACAATTATGCCATAGATTATGGCAAATATACCTATTGTGAAAGTAGACGTCTAGAAAAAGTGCTTTTCTATATAAAAATCTAAAATGGACAGTAAGTGAAAAACAAGATTCCTGATTACACATTTCCTTATTTCTGGGAAAACAGATGACAGATATATGAAGTGGTTTCCGTCTTGGAGACTCATTCTTTTGTAGTTACCTTAGAAAGAAGCAGTTGCTTCTGTCACCACCACAAAAAAAAAAAAAAAAAAAAAGGAACACGAATATTTTTATATGTATCTGCTGTTCGTAAGTAATCGTTCAGCCTTTAATAACAGCTAGGACTTCTGAGACTGCTTCAGTAAATCACTTAAGTGCGAACATGGGCTCGTCTCGTTGCCTGCTGGGCCTGCATTTTCCCAGCCCTAATGTCAAAGACTCAGCGACAAAAAAAATAACATGGACTGTTTTCTTACTCTTGAAATACTGTCTCTCCCTCTGTGCAAGCACCTATTTTAACTTAATACAAGTTTAGGCTGTATCATGAAAGATGCTTAGGAAGTTACATGGGATCGTGGGCTCCTGAACAGATTCCGCATCATATTCTCATTTGTCATTAGAATTCCCCAGGCTGGGGCAGCCCTGGTGGTGCAGCGGTTCAGCGCCGCCTTCGGCCCAGGGCGTGACCCTGGAGACCGGGAATCGGATCCCGCGTCGGGCTCCCTGCATGGAGCCTGCTTCTCCCTCTGCCTGTGTCTCTGCTTCTCTCTCTGTCCCTCATGAGTAAATAAAATCTTAAAAAAAAAAAAAAGAATCCCCCAGGCTGGATATTAGGGCTTAAGAGTTAATCTATCTCACTCACCACTTTATACTTCTATGTGTCCTCCACCTGGCATTTCGTGTCCCCCGTCACCGTACTTTTGCACATAGGAGGCCTAGAGTGTTGCTCCGGTAATCCAGGCAGTCACAAAGTCCCTGCAGCTGCAAACTGTTAAAAGAGCTTCAGGTGGGGGCGTGAAGACCCCGACGGTTGTCAAGTAACCGAACTGCGAGCTCCTTGCGGCCCGGGACAGTCTTGACCAGCCCCTGACTCAGTCCTGGTGCACAGAAGATCCCCGGTCATGCTGCATGAACAGCCGGCTCGGTGGGGACTATAACTTCAACCCTATTCTGCAACCGGGTGCTACAGGATGACAGCGAACTGTTGGTTCTGATCTCACGGAGGGTGTAATCCGACGCTACAATTTTCCAATTTTCTCTTACAACAAAAAAAGGGGGACGCCCGGGTGGCTCAGCGGCTGAGCGCCGGCCTTCGGCCCAGGGCGTGATCCCGGAGTCCCGAGATCGAGTCCCGCGTCGGGCTCCCTGCAGGGAGCCTGCTTCTCCCTCTGCCTCTCTCTCTCTCTGGGTCTGTCATGAACAAATAAATAAATCTTTAGGAAAAAAAAAGGGGGGGGGAAGAATTGGGGTTATCTCTGCTTGCGGTTTCCGGGGCCTAACCTGCACGCCGACCTCAGCCACTCGGCTCTGGAGGCTACGGCGCGACCTCCCCGCGGCGCCGCGGCCCCAACTTCCGGCGCGCCCCGCGACTGCGCCGCCGCGACCCAGGAGGGGTCGCTGTTCCCGCGAGAACCTCTGGAAAGGCTCCACCCCGCGGCGGGCGCCGGCTTCCTCCGTCCGAGGCCCCGCCCCCCATGGCGGATTACCGGCGCGTCAGTGTCCCGCACGCCCCCCGCGGCTGGCGCCGACGCTAACGCTCAGCTCGCAGCGCCTCGGTCTCGGCCGCCGCCCCCCAAACCCCCCCACCCCCCCCCGGGGGCGCGCGGCCCGCCCCGAGGCCCTCGCTCGCTCTCCTCGCCCCACCCTCTCGCTTCCCCTTCGCGGAAACGACAGCTGCGGCGGCGGGCCTGGCGCCGCCTCCCTCCACCTACCACGTCTGCCCCCGCCACTCCCTCCCGGCGCCCCAGCCCGGCTGCCGCCCAGCATGAACATCATGGACTTCAACGTGAAGAAGCTGGCGGCCGACGCGGGCACCTTCCTCAGCCGCGCAGTGCAGGTACCGCGGCGGGCGGGGGGGGGGGGGGGGGAGGGGCGGCGGCGCTCTCCGCACCCGGCCCCGCGGGCTGGCGGGCGGGCCTGCGGCCGGAGGCCTGGGTGCTGGGCGCGGCCTGCTTCCCCTCCGGGGCCCCGCGGTCGCCTTCCAGGCCCCCTCCCGCTCCACCGCCGCTTCTCCGGGAGCGAGGCCGGGCGGGGCCGGGGCCCGGAGCTCCCCCCGCGGCGCTCCCGGTGCGAGGGCCCTGGGAGCCGCGCGCAGCGGCCGAGGGACGGACTTCCTCGCACCGCCCCCACCCTGCCCTCAGGGCGGCCTCGCTCTCCCCGCCGCGTCCGAGAAGTCTCCTTTTCCGTCCAGCCGTCCGTCTCCCTGAAAGGACGGTCACCGGTGGGCGTCCCGCTCCGCCGAGGCCCCGGGAGGCCCGGCCTTCGGGGGGTTCCCGCTCACGCCGAGAGTGGGAAGCAGCGGCGGCTGCAGGACGCGGAGAGGAGCCGGGGGTGGGGTGGGGTGGGGGTGGGGGTGGGGGGGCCTGTTGTCGCCAGTTGTGCGTTTCAGCTGTAGCTCTCGGGCGGCATTCCGCGGTCAGGGAGGCGTCCGCCCTGGGGACCGGGGACAGTTTTCCACCGTCGTCGCCCACATTATGCCGACTCCGTTAAATCTATGAGCAGACGTAGAATTTCACCACAACACGAGTTACAAGCCATCCGGCGTTTTAAGTCAATGGCATAGCCCCGGCAGCAACAGCATCCTCCTCTTGTAAAGAGAAAACAAAAACTAGTTTTCTGACAGGCCTACCAAAACATAACCGCGGTGTAAGTCACGCGTCCGGCGTTGACTACTCTGTCTCCTTTGCCCCCAGTTTTGTTTTTTTGTTTTGTTTTGTTTTTTTTTTACTTATGAGAGAGAGAGAGGGGCAGAGACACAGGCAGAGGGAGAGGCAGGCTCCATGCACCAGGAGCCCGACGTGGGATTCGATCCCGGGTCTCCAGGATCGCGCCCTGGGCCAAAGGCAGGCGCCAAACCGCTGCGCCACCCAGGGATCCCCTGCCCCCAGTTTTGTTGTTAGAGTTGCTCTTACAGTGCACTGTTCTTGGCGAAATAAATGAAGAAGGAGGAGGAAAAAAAAGGGGCGGGGGGAATGGAAGAACTAGAGCGAGGTAATAGCTGCTTCTGTTGTGGGAAAAAAACTGTCAAACAGTTGCAAGGCATTTGACAGATTATCCTATCTAATTTTGCCAGATGTTGTGAGCTCCTATTCTATATGAGGAAGCCGCCTCAGAGAGGTTAAGAAACTCGCTTAACTTGCACGGCTAGTAAACTTGCTGTCTGATGTGCTACTGGTTGCAGGCTGCTCCTCTCTTCCAGGGTAGGCATTGCAGATAGAGTAGTAAGAATACAACAGGCTGGAGAGACCTTAAATATCACCTGGTACTCGAATCTCAGCATTTCAGTCACATTGAAGCAGGTAGCAGTTAAGGCATGCGAAATTCCTTCTTGGTCTTGATTTCTAAATTCTGACACCTGCATAGTAAGGGATAGGCTAGCTCCCCTTTCTCCATGAAAATATAAGCTATGTTGTGAAGACATTGAGTGGAACGGTTAAAATAATTTCTTGATTTAAATTAACCTACTTTGAATAGCTCAGAGGCGGAGGGCAAGAGAACGAGTGGTTGAAGGTCTGAAATGAATTTGATATATGAGACTTAATGTAACCTGAAAAGAGGCCCTTGGTGTTGTTTATTTCTGATTCCCAATGATTTTGTTTGCTGAGTGGAGATTTGACATTATGATGACACTGTTTTAAAGACAGGTCTGTTTTCAGGTACATAATCCACTGTTTAAATAGGACACGTGTACTAGAATTTGATTTAAATTGTTGGTAGCCTTTATTTTAAAAACCTAGCAAAGCTCTCAAAAGATGTAGTTCCTAGATGAATTTCAATTACTCATAGTTTCACATTCTTTAGTTTTTAAAGTCTATTCTAATCTGTTAGCTATCAAATAATTTTCACTATTAAATACTTCTATGCCTATACCGTGTCTGCCTGACACTACTATTTTGGACACTGGTGATAATACCAGTATATAAAATTAGCAAGACATCTGCACTCCTGGAGCTTATAATCTAACAGTAAATACACCAGATGATAGAGAAAAAAGGTCACAGGTGATAAGTTAATGGCGGGGGGGGGGGGGGGTAGTGGCAATTTTTGCCATCTTATTTAAACATAAGAGTACGACAAGCCTTTCCAGTAGGATCAAATTCCAAGAGACCTCAAGGAAGTGATAGTTCAGTTTTTTGGAGGAAAAGCACTTTAGGCAGAAGGAAAAAGTCCAAATACTTTGAGGTTCTGGCATACTAGGGACATCAGTTAGGGAGCTGTAGCCATAGCATAGGCAAAAGGTGATAGAACGTAGGTGAGAGAGATGATAGCATAGAAGGTTCAGAATCTTTTCAGTATGGTTCCCAAATTGGCTGTAGGTTAGGAAGGAAAGATGAGTTAAGGATGACTGTAAGGTTTTGGCTTGAGCCATATACTGAGAAGGGATAGATTTCAGGAGGAACAGACTCCTTCAATATGTCTTTTTTACATTAAGTCTGTATCTGTTAGAAATAGTTTCTGAAATATTTATGTATAAACTATAGCATGTCTGAGGATTTCTTTAAATATTCCAGAAGAGAAAAAAGGGGACTAGTTGAAACATTGGCAGAATGTTGACAGTTTTGAAGTTGAGTTCAATATACTATTACACTTTTGAATGTTTGACATTTTGCACAGTACTGGGGGCTCTTTTATTACATAAGAAAAAAATTAATTCCAAAATGTAACACGTGAAATTTGGAATGTTGTGTGGTAATTTTCAACAAAAACACTATTTTGTCATTTTAGTATTTAGTCAATAATTGAATTCCCAGTCTAAATTGCATTGACATCCGTATAGTGTCAAGTGCCAAGTTTCATGCTAAGAATAGGGTAAGTGCTATGCCAGTTACTCATTATAAGCAATAAGAACAGAAGGAATGGAATTCAGCTTTCTCATTTCTAAATAATAATTTCTATTCAAATTAAATTATACCTTAAGGAATAGATCATTCTCTGGGTGACCGACTGCCATATCTTTTTTCATTCTACTTAAAAATTTTTAGGTTAGAAACTAAGCTTTTTCTGTTTTAAAAAAGAAAAACTATTACACAAATGAGTTTCATCACTCTACTCTCACTCATAACATGTTTATATGCCATGCAACTTTGAAAAAATGTAAAAATTATAATCAGTAAGAATATACGTTCCTTAACACTCTATTTGGATGTTTTTGTTATTCTTAACTCCCTCAAAATGATAGAATACAAAAGCATCAGGTAATTTGTCCTCCATAAGTTACTTTATTAGTGTCTTCAAAAGCCATTTATTCTTAGTATCTGTATTTTTGGTCCAGACGCCTCTGTTGAGCATTACATACTCCTTTCCTGCCTTGTCTTTTCTCTCATATATACTGTATTCCTATCAAATTATTTTTTTAATTTCCAAAATACATTGTACTTTTCTAACACTAGACTTGACTGTTCTTACAGTCTCATCTTGAATGCCCTCCGACCCCTCCCTCTCTGTCTTTCCTTCCCGCCAGATAAAACTCCAAGCCCATCTCAGACCACAAGAGCTTGATGTGAATTCCTGTGTTATTTTTCAATTCCATATGATCATGTGGCACTTTTCTTGGAATGAACTGTTATGTAAGGTCACTTAGAGCTGTAAAATTGTTACTATATGGCTTTCACATCTTTATATTAAGATTGTATGTCCTGAGGAATCAACTTTGTTTCTTCTTACCCTCTCATGGTTTCCAACATTGTTCTTTTAAAATTTTTTATATGATTTTAACCAGGCGGGGTATCTATATGAAAGATACTCTTTGAATCATGTAGCATGTTAAATAATTTTGTTATTTTTATTAGTATTTTCTGACATTATGTCTGCTGAACTTGAAGTTGACTAATGCCAGTCTAAAAGATTAAACTATTCTGGGGCGCCTGGATGGCTCAGTCGGTTAAGCGTCTGCCTTCCACTCCGGGTCCTGGGGATCAAGCCCCAAGTCTGGCTCTCTGCTCAGCGTGGAGCCTGTTTCTCCCGCTCCCGCTGCCTCCCTATCCCTCCCACTCCCCCTGCTTGTGCTCTCTGTCAAACAAATAAAATCTTTAAAAATAAATTAAATATTAAACTGTTTAATTCAACCTATATTTATTGAGTACCTCTTGGGTGCTTGGCACTGAAGTGCAAAGATGAATGAGACCTAGTTGTTGCCCTCAAAGACTTGGTAGTCCAGTCCCGGTTTGTCATAATTATTTCTTTTTCTTTGTAATAAATATCCATTTTGTGAAGTACTGTTACTTCATTTGATAAATGTTTCAAGTGGACACGTTTTTACTTGATATTGAAGCAAATCTGCTCAATGTCTTTAAAATAAGACCATATGCTTCCAAAATAAAATATTTTCAACTGCAATTACTTAGTTTCTTTTTAATTTTCTAACATTTCCTCTGAGCTAACTACTAAAGTTATACAATGAACTTCATGAGTACCAGCTATTTTCTGAGGGAGAAAAGTCTTTAAAGTTTAGTTGCAAGCTTGGCTTTCATCCTTGATTTAATTTAGGGGAACAATGGTGTGTCTAAGCTGGAGAGGTAGAGATGAATATGATGCTGCCCTCCTGTTAGATCCTATCTGGATGGAATTCCTACTTAGCCAAACATTTGCCCAACCCCTTTTGAAATCCTGTTTCCTTTATGGAATTTAAACTGCAGCAACTTCACCATTCTCTCAAATTCTAATAAATAAAACATGTCACATTTAAAGTCCGTACATTTACTCATTATGTAAAAACTTTGCATATTTAGTGTTACCCTAAACCTCACATACTTGGGTGTTTTTGGTGTTAAATCTAGTAAACTACTAGATAGAAGATGGTTTGTTAACCTGACGTTAAAATAATCACCTGTGAGCTTA